GTATAATATTTGCGTGGGGCAAAGACACTCTCTCCCTTCTCAGACACGGGATCCAGCCCCAGCCCTCCCTCCTTCCCCCGGAGCAGGGCACACACTGCTAAGATGAAAAGCGCCTCTCCCGCAGCAGCCAAAGAAAACAATCGCCCAGAAAAAGCAACTGAAAGGAGAGAGGAAGCAGAAATCTGCATCCTGGCTGATAACATCCTCAAAGTCAAGCTGGAGAGATAGGCGGTCACCGTCATCGGTCATCGGTCATCGAAGGAGCCTGGGGGACCCGGTGAGTTGGCCAGCAGTAAGAAGGCCTGAGAAGGTCCCTGGCCCTCGGGGCTGTCAAATTCAGCCCCCCATAACTTGGTCCTTGCTGTCAAAGGGCACTAGGTGACCTTCCCATGCCAACAAATTCCCTGGAGCATCCGTTTGTTGATCAAGTATAAACTGAGATTCTCTGTGTTCGAGGATACACAGGTGCACCCACGGATCCCAGCTGGTGGAGGTCACCTTGTAGGGAGGAGGTTTGCTGCGACAGACACACATCGGCTTCTTTCTTCTGGCCTGTCCCTTTCTTGCTTCCTTCCTCAAGGCACAGGTCTCGGCACCCTAGGTGGGCCAGGGCTTTATCTGTCCTTCCTTCCCCAAGGGGCAAGTGTGAGGAAGCCACCGTGGTGAGGACCTGCCTATTTCTTGCTGGGTGGGGGCTTTTAGTCGAGACAAGGGCCTCTAAGTGTCTCAGCCGAGACAGGAATAGACACCTTATCTTACTTCTGACACAGGATTGCCATGAGGACCGAATAACATTGTCTCCTAGACCTTTAGGGGCGGCAACCACAAATTCCTCAAATGTAGGAAGTAGAATAAAGTGTGGCTTTATTTCTCCCCAGTGTATTTTCAATATATTCGGCCTCCCTGCGACCCTTACTCCCCACTCTGCACTGAGCTGGGTTAAGGGAAGTTGTGCCTTAGGATTTACTCTCCAGGAAGGAAAAGAGTGCTTCCTTTCTCGGATCCAATGAACTAGCAGAAAGCGCTTCCTCCCCGCCCTACTTTCCAAAAGGCTGGTGACAGCGCCCCCTGGTGAACACCTGGAGCAACTGCCTGGGAAAGGCCCAGAGAGAGGGATGGGGTTGAACTCAGGTAGAGCAGGAACCCCGCTGTCACGTGAGGGTGGGGGTGGGTGATGCCCAAAGGGGACATGCTCCTGTCCCCTCCAGCTGGTGGTTGTGGTGTAGAATCAGATCTCGCTTCATCAGATATTTTGGTTTTTCAAGTCAAGCTAGAAACTTCCCTGTTGAATAAAATAAAACCAACAGTACAAGCCAAAGAAAACAAGACAGTCCACAGTTTAGGGCGTGAACTGTCAGCAAGCCTTCTGCTCTGGGGAAGAAACGAAGCAGTAATAACAGTTAATTCCAGCACATAAATGAGGAACTGTCTTGGGACCAGAAATATGTTATATAAAACGTAAAAGTCACAACTATAAACATAGTGGACGAGAAAAAAGAAGCTTATTCACTCACCTCTGAATTGTCCCATTTTTATTTGCTTGTTATACTGATATATATTTTTATTTCTTATATTAACCAGCAGACATTAGGAAGTTTTGGTAAAAATTATGGGAAGAAAAACTCAAAATAGAAAACATTCTTTTTATTTAAGTTTCAGCAACCCCCTCCCCACTGTTTGGAAAAATAAATCAGTTACCCTAAAGGTATACATTCATCAGCTTCCAGAATACCAATGTCCACATGGGTGTATTTGAACTTCTTAGGGAAGAAATTCATATTTCCTAATCCAACATGCAAGGCCTGGATGGTTTGGTGTCCTGGTGCTGATAGTCTCGCCTCCTACAACTTCCGAGGCTGCCCTGACTATCATTCTAAACTCTTTTCTTCCAAGAACACCTCAGCATTTTTTCAGAAAAGCCTATTTCCCTTTAAAGTGCTCTTCCTCACTTCTCCATTAAAAACAAACAAACGAACTATGCGTTCTTCAACTCCCAGTTTGCAGGTCACCTCCCACCAAAACCTGGCTGACATAATCCCTCCCCCACCAAGTGTGGGGGCATAGCACACCACCCACCCCCAACCTGTGCTTTCATAGTTTTAAGCCGGTATCTCTAGTATAACAATCAGTTTGCATGTGTTATATTTATTTCTTTGTACATCTTTTGAAATCTACCCAAAGATATAAAGCTTTGAAAACACCTCGTAGATTGGAAGCTGGTAGGCATGCTTGCTGTTTGTTTTGCTCACCCAGAGCCTAGTTACCTAGCAAGACGGATTGAATAGGATCATTAAAAAATATACTTTAAAATAATGTTAATTTTGAATTTATGGAACATATAATAATTTTCATGGTTCAAAATGCAAAAGGCATGAATGTGTGTAAGACTGAATAGTGCCCATCTCCCCCCTGTTTCCAGCTACCCAGAGTCTCTCCTTATCTGTAAATAATGTTACTCATTTTATTTCTTGTATCCCCTGGATGAAGTCCACATTCCTTTCTCCTTTGCGTAATTCTTCCTCCCCTCTGGGCTTGTTTATCTTCCCAGCCCTCACCCTGCACCCAGACTTTGCCCTCTGCTTCTGAGTCTGCCCAGCATTTAACTACATGCTCGGCCACCCTCTCCCCCACTCTCTCTTCACTTAGCAAATGGCCCTCATCAGTCTGGCCTCAGTGGCTCTGTCCGCAGTGGGTGCCCAGTGTCCAGTGAGTACCAGGAACCCTCCCACCCCTACCTCCTCCAGCTCTTTTCTCCTTGTAACCTAACTGTTTACTGATGGGGTTCTCCACAGGCTCCTTGAGATCAGAGACTGTCCCTCAATCAATGTTCAAGACTGAAGACCCAGCACACGGCAGGCCTGGGGTGACCATGGCCCTCCCCGTTGACAGTCGTCAGCCATTGCACCTTTCTCCTTGAGCCCCCTCTGAGCTCAAGGAAAGCTCAGGGAAGCGGAGGCAGTGGTCACAGAGACGCAGGAGCGCGTGGGTGTGCAGAGTTGCTTCTGACTGTGGATGAGGAAAACGGCCAGGGCACCTTTCTCATCAATCTCTGGTCAACATGGTGAGCCACGCTCCTGTCCCTGAGCCCAGGGGGCTCCGTACACACCTCAATTCAATGCCCAGTCTTGACCACTGAGTGTGAGGAGGACGAGTGCTTATTGAAGAGGCAGATTTCACTGGCCTGGGCTTTCCAATGGAACCGTGCGGGGGAAACTCAGGCCTGTTTTGACTTCCACGTTATAGAAGAACAAACTCAGGGAGCTTCACCCCCTGGTCCCTTTTCCCCCTGGAGGACAGACCCCTCATCTGGACGGGGGCCAATCAGGATTTGAGGGTGGCCCTCTGGCTGCTTCCTTAAGCTCTCCAAGAACTTTGCCACAACATAAGGGACACTGTTTGAAGAATGACAAAGCAAATGAGCTCGCACCTTAGCTTGTTCACCAAATAGCCTGTCTGAATGGATAAACGGGCCAGACATTAGTGAAATCTTTTTATTCAGCGATTACTAACAGTAATTGAGCTCCATCCACCTTCTTCACGGGTGACAGGCCTTCTTTTTAATCCTCACCCAAGGATATGTATTTATTGATTTTAGAGACAGAGGGGAAGTGAGGGTGAGATGAGGTGAGAGAGAGAGAGAGACATCAGTGCTGAGAGAGAAACATCGATACCCTGGAACCTACGTCTGTGCCCTGACTGGGGATTGAACCCACAACCTTTTGGAGTACAAGAAGATGCTTCAACCAACTGAACCACTGCCCAGGGCACGACTGGGCCTTTCAGAAGGAGGATCAGGGAGTAAGGAGGAGGAGAGAGCGGGGGCTCTGTGAAAAGGCACAAGGCCAGCTGTGTCTGCTAGGTGGCAATTCCTGAAGGGACAACTGTCCTCCCACAGAGATGGGGAAACAGGCCCCGTCCTTCTCGCTGATGTTGCTTCAGGTCCTTGAGACAGGCCATTCCCGAGTTGCAGGCCATACACACGTATCTCCGAGGGAGGAGGCACGGACTCGGCACTGTCAGTCCTTCCTGGTAAATGCTCTAAGCAAGGCAGTCGGGGTATTTCTTCCCATGTCCACGGGAAGGAAGAGGGAAGCCCATGTTAATGGGGTGGGGTGGGGGTCTGGGGTTGTTCTGGGACTCCAGGGGTAGGCCACTTAGGGCACTCTATTCAAGAAGGAGACGTGGCCCTGACAAGGTAGTTTTGTTTACCTGCAGCAAGTCAAAGAGACAGGGGAGTCCCATCAAAAACTCTGCCCCCTGGGAGGGAAGCTTAGCCATTGCTTATACACACTGTTTGGTCCGTGGCCTCTCGATTGTTTCTCTGCAGCTGGCTCATTGGAGCCCTCGACTTCCTGTCAGCTCACGCTCTTCACGGCCGCATCGCCAAATCACTACGCTACATGCAAGAAATAGCATTTAGCACTGCCCAGACCTTGAGACCCTTGTCCTGTCTACAGGGGCATCCTGGGGACTGGCCTTCGGCTGCAAGAAGTGGGGCAGGAGTTTGAGCGCAGCGCCAGCAGTTTCCTTGGCGCGGGTTAGGGGACAAAGGGCTGCCTTTCCCAGGGCGATCGGCCAGAAAAAGTAGTTCCTGCACGTTTTCCAATCTGCCCTTCTGAAAATCGCAGTCGCTTTTCGGTGCTGCTCAGCGGAGCAACCAGGTCCGCCATTTTCGGGGGGAATAGTGAGGGCGGGGCAGTGAGGGCTTGGCTAGTTGGGTGACTGTTGCGCAGCAGGGGACCGGGTAAAAGGAGAAGTTAAGCGAAAGTCACCAGCCCAGATTAAGGGGCGGGGCGGGGTATGGGGGTGGGTGGCCCACTTGCTCTGAGCATCACAATTGCCTCCCCAGGGCTCATGGTGCCCGGCTGCACTCTACCTCCATTTCCCCGGGGTCTGCAGGGTCCTGCCACCTCATTGGACACGCGCTGGCTCCCTCCCTCCCTGCTCGGAACTAGTTGGGCCTCCTTGGCGCACACGCACACGCTTGGCCAGGGTGTCCAGGTCAGGGGTTGTCCCCGCCAGGGGTTGGGCCAGCTCTGGCCCCTCCCCGTTGCTGGGCCTGCAGGGCCTCGGCTTCCATTCCTACGGAAGCCGCCGTCCGCAACCGCTGCAGCCATGGGCGCCGCTGGTTCCTCAACGCTGGCCAGCCTGGCCCTCCGTGTGCCGCGTCGCCCGGAGCAGCTGAGACCGGTCTGGCTCGGGGCAGCCGCACTGGGACTGGCCGCGGTGATGCTGGGGACAGTCGTCTGGCGCCGCAGGCGGTCCAGGCGGCGGCGGCTGCGGCTGCGGCGGCTGCAGCAGGTGGGCACCGTGGCACAGCTGTGGATCTACCCAGTCAAGTCCTGCAAGGGGGTGGCGGTGAGCGAGGCCGAGTGCACCGCCTTCGGGCTGCGCAGCGGCAACCTGCGGGACAGGTACGGCTGGCCCAAGCCCAGGAGTTGGGGGTTGTGGGGGGGTCGGCGACGGTCCTGCTGGGGATGCGTTGGAGGGGGGGGGGGCGGGAGAGGTGGGGCTTGTCCTCCCACCCCCAGAAGGAGAATAGGGATTCACCACCTGGGTTTCCGGAGCTGCTTGTTGGTACCTCTGCCTTTGAACCTTGAGCGGGGAAGGTCAAGTTCACGTCTGATTCAGATTTGGGAAGGTAGGCAGGGCCAAATTTTCCTTTGGGTAAAAGAACTGGGTCTGACCTGGTGACAGCTAAGGCTCCTGTTAGTTCGAAACTTTCTTAGTTTACGGCACAACAGTAGGCACGTGAAACGCCATCGGCACCAGCGGCAGACTGGAGCAGTGGTGAAACCAATTTCTGTTCCAGGACACACTGTCTTCGGCCTTGCTGGCGCTGCTTCCCCACCGTTGGCTGTCCCCGCAGGTGCCTGACCCAGGAGGCGGGGACACCAGCGCCCACAGGCACTGAGTGGAGTGAAGGCTTGTGTTGGGGACAGGGGTTGTGGGGGGAGGGGATGGTTGTAGGGTGATTATTTTCACTGCGGGAGCAGTGCATCTCTGGTCTCCCCGGCGGGCGGAGCAGACTTCATTCAGCAAAGAGCTTTGTTTTTTCAAGTGTCTACCCGCATAGGGCCTGGCACATAGACATTCCATTCTCCTTACTCGGAAAAGACAAGGTGTCTTGTCATTTAAGTCACCCCCAAGGTGAGGCACAGACATGTGTCATTCACAGAAGGATGCAGCTGGATACCGTGAAGGGTGCCAGTGCCTAATAGGAGTGATCAAGGAAGGATGTACCAACCCGAAAAAGATGACACCTGCTAAAAAGGGACCCTGGTAGGTAACTGGGCTCAAATTCAACAACCACAACAAGCACAGAGCCTGGCACTGTTCCTATGTATGGGTCTCCACTGCCAGCTGCACTCCCGGGCGAAGCGAGCACTGAGCTGCCTGCCAGCACCCCTTTCTGCCCCCTGAGCCAGCCCTTATAAAGGAGTTAGTGCCTGGAATTCTATGTCAACCAATAGGAATGAAGCTTTTTCATCCCCTCCGAGCTGCACAGCTCCAATCAACTCCGGGCGGCTCTATTCTGACCAATCAGGACAATGCCTGTTGGACTGATCAGACTGGAACGTGGAGTCCTTATTTGGAGTCCTTATTTGCATGCGGACAGATCAATCAAGGACCAAGGGCAGGGACTTGTCTCCACAGGAGCCAGCTTCCCTCTGGTTCGGAGATTGCACCTTCCTTTTCTACATAAGATTGAACACTTTGACCCCCTGGCTGAGCTGCAAGACGGAAGGTGGTTCGCAGAGCAGAGGGGACCAGCATGGACCAGAGCAGGCTGGCCCAGGATGGGGTGGACCAGCGCAGCACAAAGCAAACGGCCTAGGATCAGAGCAGAGCTATCTAGCCTGAGAGGTGGGGGTGGGAGGGGGGCTGCCTGCCAGCGGTCCTGTTCTCATCACTGAACTCTTCTGCACTGAATCAACTTTCTTTCTTCACCACACCCTAAATTGGGCACTGAATCAGCAACCATCAGTTGACAGATGGAACCTCCTTCATTTCCTTAGGATGAAGATGCCTTCACATCTGGCTGGGATGGCTTAGTTGGGGTCCTGTGGGGGGTGGTCTCAGGGGAGGGAGGTGTGCAAGTTGGTTGTTCAAGGAACCTTGTAGCAGAGGCAGTCTGGCTGCCCTGAGTTCACTCCAAGGCGCACGGACTCACTCTTCACTGAATACTGCTGTCCTTCAAAATGCGGGCTCCCACGGCGTGGAAAAACTTCACCTTGTTTTTAGGAAGTGTTGTGTATGTGGACAGTGGAACTCACAGGAGATTGTCCATCCGCCTGCATCCCAGACAGCTAATCCTGGAGAGTTTCTTAAAGCTGTAGTTTCCTAAGACTCCCATCCAAGAGTGAAGTCAGCATCTCCCGAGTGACTCTGATGCTCTAAGTAGAGGGTTTATCTGGGACTGTCCAGAGAAAGAGCATGTTTAGAGTTTATGCAGATATGAAGGACTAGACTTCCCAGACCTTGTTTGGGACTATTGTCCCATCTAGCACAATGGCTCATCCTCAATTTTATAACGAAACAACATTGAGCAAAATGATGTTCTTCGAGGACCTGCTGTATCTCACCCAAGATCACAAAACCGTTCTGTGCTACGTGGATTTCAACTCAGATCTCTGTGGGTGCAGCCTTCATGCTCTTTCTGTGGAACCAGCGTGTGGGATCTGGAAGTGCAAGGTACCAGCACCAGGGGACCTTGGGCAAAGTCACTGGCCTCTCTGAGCTTCATTTTTTTTTCTCATTTGCAAAACACAGAGGTTGAACTTGATGACCTCTAGGACCCTGTCTGGTCTAGCTTTTCTTTATGAAACAGTAATTGAAACTCAAAAGCCACCTGGGAAAACCTCTGCTTCCACGACCCCTACTGTTGTCTCAGCCTGAGACTTCAAACACGAAACTGCGAAGAGGCTAGAATGCAGGAGGTGGCCTCCTTTATTTGATTGCATTTTGAACCCGAGTCTCTGGAACTGGGATCTAAGCTCTGGGATCCTCCTGTCCCGGGGCTCTGTGTCTCACATTTCTAGGGACATTTTCATCAAAGCTCTTAACCCATTTGTGAACGCTTGGCTTGAACGCCCCGAGCTTTGGGTGGTGGTTAAAGGCCGCCAGCGGATCCCGGCAGGAGCCCTCTGGCACCAGACGTGGCCACCCTCCTTCACTGCGTCATTGCCCATCTCCTCAGCCCCCCGTCTAGGATTCGGTCACTTACACATCCGTCTAAACCCTTGCTGAAGTCAGCCCCTCACTCTTCTGCACAGGCTATTATTATTATGGCTCAGAGAAATGAATTCCCTGAGTTCACAATCCTGAGTATCCTTTTCTCTTGGCTTCTTTCTGCTGCGCCCTCCTCCTCTCTGTAGTGGGGTCCCTGCTTCCCCGCTTTTCAGACTCTGTCCTTTCTGTGTCCCAGGCCAGTTTGCACATTTAGGGAAGAGGTTTCCCAGCTGTCTGGGGACTCTGCTTCCCCATCGCTGTTGGCCGCACAGGGCACTGTGGCTGTTTTGGAGAATCTGGGCTCTGCACTGACCTCCGCAGGAGACCCTCACGTTTTAGGTGTGACGTGAAGGTGCTGGATGTTCGTGTGGCAGACTCAGTCAGGGTAACAGGGTCATGAAAGAAAAAATCCACACTCCAGTCCTATTCCTTCTTTCAGATGGAGCAGAACAGTACTAATTACTCTTCACTGGGCATCTCTTGTCTGCGAGAGGTGAAGAGTAGCTTTCATGACCCCGCTGACGGGGCAGTGAGGCTGGTTGGGGTATGTTAGGGACAGCAACTTTGTATCTTTATTGCAGCGTTAGACTGCTTGCAAGCCGCAGTGGCCAGCATGGAACCTCTGGCCACCACGGTTGGAAACTCCTCGGGATATCTCCCATGTGCTCACACAACAGGCTGGAGCAAAGTTGGGGTCTGCGGGCCAGAGCACAAGGCTGCAGTTTTGGGGGGGATGGGGGATGGGAGGACTCAGCTCAAGGAGGGACTGGCTGTCAGAAATAACGTGCAGTCAGGCCCATGACTCTGAGCTTGTTTCTCCGCAGGTTTTGGCTGGTGATTAAGGAAGACGGGCACATGGTCACAGCCCGGCAGGAGCCCCGCCTCGTACTGATCTCCATCACCTACGAGGACAATCAGCTGACCTTCCAGGCCCCAGGCATGGACCAGCTGGTGTTGCAGAGCAAGCTGCCTTCCTCAAACAGGATCCACAACTGCAGGTGCTCTGTCCGGGGCTTCGGGGGCCTGCCCTGGGCCTGGTTTCCTTTAGGCTCCACCCTGCACTCCACAGTTTGTAGCGAGAGTGGAGAGAATGGTAAAGGAAGCGTTTCCAAGAAGTCCAGTCTGGGTTGGGATTGGGCCAGAGTTCAGCTGCGAATAAATGAGGCAGCGTTTTGCTTCAGGAGTACTTGGGAGTTGTTTTAATCAAATGTGGTAAGATACGCAGACAAAGCAATGACCATCATAAAGAAAGATGTTCTTTTATATTCACAGATCCCTAGAAATTGGGGGGCCTTTGCCACGCAGGGCCCCACTGGGAAGCACCAGGGCTGACCAGGACGTGGCCGAGGAAACAAGAATAACATGAGCAAGAGCCTCATTATGGTCTCTGAAGACAGGACAGCGAGGCAGAACAGAGGCTTTGGATGGGCCCATGTGAATAACCTCAGTGGTCGCTGGGCCATAGAGACCAGGGCAGACCCTGACATTTGTGACCACATGGGTGGACTTGGAGGACGTTATGCTAAGTGAAATAAGTCAGACAGAAAAGGACCAGTACTGTGGGACCTCACTGATATGTGGAATCAAACAAACCAAACCAAACAACAGTAACAAAAACCCCAAAAATCCGACTCACGGAAAACCGATCAGACCTGTGGTTCCCAGGAAGGGGGTTGGAGGGAGACGGTCACAAGGTACAAACCTCCAGTTACCAGAGAAAGTAAACACGTGGGTGGACCGGACAGCATGGCGTCTCCAGTGAACACTGCAGGGTGCCTTTGCGCGTTGATTCTGAGAGCTCTCATCCCCAAGGGAGAAGCGCTTTCTTCTCTTCGAACTGTTATGAGACGGTGCATGTTAACCGACCTGACTATGGTTAACATATGTAAGTCAGGGCAGGAAGCTGCACACCCTAAACTTCGGGGCTCTGTGTCAACGATATCTCCGCAGAACTGGAGAAAAACAGTTTTTAAAAATGTGGACCATAAAAGAAGAGCTTAATCATGTATTTTTTTTAAAGGGAGAAGGTTGGCTATCAAAATATTATGGCATTTACATTCCATGGCATACTTTGAAAAGCATGATTTTTTTATTTCGACGTTTTTCTATATTTAAATATTAATATAATATAATGTTATTTTGAATGTTAGTATTTACATTTCAATGGGAATGATATCTTTCACCACAAGCTAAACATATAAAAGTTCCCATGTCAACTTCAAATCCTGTGAGTGGTGCAAAGCTTTAAAAAGTCCTTCTACACTTAGTTACTCAAGCAAAATAACCTTGAAGACCGTTGCGCTGTCTAATGAAATCTGCGCCCGACGTAGGGTCAGTGCTCACTTGTTATCTCCTACTTAGCACTGGAGATGGCAGGTCAGAGGAGTTAGGTGATTTGCTAAAGCCCACAGACTATAGAACGGGAGCGTTCCAATTGGAGCCGGCTCTGCAGACCCAGCTCAGGATGCATCTCCCACACCCCAGATGCACCCTTCTCCCCTTTCTGAGAGTATCCTAAACCCTTGCTACTCGGAGTGTGGTCCACAGACCAGCTGCTTAGGCGTCCTGAGGCTTGTTTGGAACAGAGAGTCTCAGGTCCCAGCCCAACCTCCTGCCCCCAAAAGAACCTGTCAATGCAAGAAGGAACCCTGGTCTTTTTTGTTCCCGCTCCAGGATTTTCGGTCTGGACGTTAAGGGCCGGGACTGTGGTGACAAAGCAGCTCAGTGGTTCACCAGCTTCTTGAAAACGGAATCTTTCAGGCTGGTTCAGTTTGAAAAGGGCATGAAGGGAAGACTGTCAAAGAACATTTTCCCGTCTGCGGTACAGAATTACCAGGTGAGCTGCCAGAGAGCTGCCCTTCACATCCACCAGTCAGTCACGCTTCCCTTTCTGCCTCCCTCGTGGCCACAAGGAGCCTCTGGGGTCCCCAGTTCGGGAATGCAGGCATGGCCAGGTGAGCAGTGCTGAGGGCACCACCTGCAGGTGTTGGGAATGGAGAGGGAGGTGGGTACCCGAACCCCCAGGGCTCTCCAGGATGCATGAGGATGGCATATGAGAGATACCTGTGCAGGGAGAAGCTGGGGCGCCCCCCCACCCCCGCAGTGAGATGGGAGCTCAGGGGAAAATGGGTTGGGGAGGCGGGCGCGAGGGGTTTGTTTGGGGCTCAATCCAGGTTTTCTGCAGAAGCAGGCTTTCTCCAGCACTGCCTTCACAGTCAGTGCAGGCTGCTTATTTCAGGTACGGGGACAAGGCCCTTTCTCCCGAAGAAAACGGCCCCCCTCTGCCTTTGACCCTGGGATAAAGATCAGGCATAAAATGCACGCTCCTCAGGGTCTCCCCAAGGCCCCCCGATGTCAAGCTCCTTGAATGCAGGGAGTTGAGTCTGCTCTGTTCTCTGCAATGTCCCCACCTCCAACGAGGCCTGACGGATACATCCAGGTGCTTACCAAATGCATGTTGACGAAACAGTGGCAGCTGAAAGAAATCATTACAAGAGCAGAGCCGCTTGGCTGTAGCCCCTTTCCCTGGTCGATGATGACTAGGAAGGGGATCACCTGTTGGGAGCTGGAGTGAGGAAGGAAAGAAGGTGGGGTGTGAGGGTGAGGTCATCCCCAGGCCTGGCTGCTGCCTTCTGTGTGGGGGCCAGGCCCCTCCGTAAGCCCAGAGTTGAGCTGGCCACTTCCATGCCCAAAGCGTCGCTTCTCCTTCCCCAGATGCCACGGTCCCCTTCTGTGTGCCGGGGGCTTTGCCTCTAGACTTCGCTTAGCTTTGCAGTTGGACTGAGGAGTTTTGCAGCAAGGCCCGATGGGTCCGTGTTCTTGGTGCAGGTGGCCTACCCGGACTGCAGCCCCATCCACATCCTCTCGGAAGCCTCTCTGGCAGATCTGAACATCAGGCTGGAGAAGAAAGTGAAGATGGACCAATTCAGGCCAAATATCGTGGTAACAGGCTGTGATGCTTTTGAGGAAGTAAGTAGATCACTGATTTTGTGCATGACGCTCAGATGTGCTGTTCAAGGCACTAACAGAATTGCCATCACCTTCAGCCAGGGCCAACTCAGACCCTCCGGGGTGGGCAGTGCTGGCAAACTCCTTCCCGGAGTCACCTTCCCTTTGTCGTGGTTCACGCACTGCTGCTATCTCCTCACTCGCCTCAGGGGGCGCTGCTCACCCTGGAGGGCTCAGGCTCTGAAGCAAGAAACGGGAAATCCAAATTGTAGCAAGTCTGGGCGTAGGTTATCATATATAATCGTAGCTCAGAGACAACTGAAGGGAGAACAGCCATCTCTTCCTTTCCTGTACCGCCCAGGGGTGCTTTCCAAGATTTGAGGGTCTGGGAATTTCTCCCCAGATCCCAAAGTGGGAGCCAAGAAGATTCATGGGACTTGCCTGTGAACAGCCCCTGGGGACGGTTCATGCTGAGGCCTGAGTGGTCTCCCAGGGGACTCAGGCTCTCTCTCCCATGAGGCTGACCACAGAAAACTCCCAGCCTCTCCAGACACAGCCCCTTGTAGCTCTGAAGGGACAGTCACATGAAAACCCAGCTGTCACCTGCCCTGTGCGCATGGAATACAGATCTAGATGTTGCTTTCTTAGAGGTAACGTCGGTGATCATAAACACTGGGTGTGGAGCAAATAAATTACTTCCTACAAGTTTACTAATCAATTCTTACGACCCTCCCGTGAAGTCTCTGTTATTTTCTCCTTGTTTTTTGTGAGAAAGCTGAAGGTAGGAGGTATTATGCAGCATGTTACGTGTGTAAGTGGTGACTCTGGCCTAGGACCCGAGTCTGGCTACTCCATCCAGCCTCTGGGTGCTAAGGTCCAGGTTCCAATGCAGAGATTCCCAAATGGTTCCCTGAGGGGAGAGGCTCCCGAACACCTGCCCAGCTCTCTGCACCCTTGGGTGCCTGCACTTCCTTTTGTGTGAGTAAAACATGCCCCTATTTGCTCCTCTGACTTGTTCTGTAGGGTCCACTTTTACAGACAGCTAACAGAAATCCTTGCACCTGTAGACACTTCCTGTTACTTGATAGTTTGAAAAATAGCCACATAGATGTTGTCTCCTTGTTGGTGTTTTCCTGTCATTCATTACCTGTTCTCTTTAATTCCTCTTTCCGTGTGTTAGAAACGTGTTTTAATTGATCATCTGTTATGGGCCTGGCACTGTGGGCCTGGACATAGAGGTTCGAGACCCAGATCCTGCCCTTCAGAATCTGCCCCTGGGAGAGCAATGGCCTTGACTGAAGGGACTTGATGTTTCTCCCTAGGAACACATCCAGATTCGGCCGGACCTGAAGTTTATTCAATTTGGGGGCCTCTTTAAAAGTAATAATAATAAAATCAGGTGCAGGTCCTTGAAAGGCTCCAGTGAAAGTGGGGGGACCGAGATTCAAGGCTCACTAGCTTTTCAGTAAAGCCACCCACCTCCCCCCTTCTACTTTCACGAGTCCTCTCTTCGAGGCCCCTCAGTCTGGAGCCATTAGATGCTTGTTGAAAGCGGAATGAAATTAGCGCTTTGGGTCTGTGATGCATGTTACTAAATCCCAGCTTCAAATTAGTCCACAAAGCAAAAACTCCTTTCACGGGAATCCGGTAATTGGGTCAATATTTTGAGAACTTTTTTTTTTTTTCAATAGCTTCTTGGTCTTGGCTAAGATCAAGTGTAGAAACTTTCCTTTTAGGAAATAGGATTTTTCTTGGTTTGATGCCCCTGAGAGAGAAATTATTTTGCTCTTCATTTTCATTTAAGATCTTGTGCCAGGGGAAGGAGAAAAGCTGGTCTTGTTCCTGCCTATAGAATTTTTTGCGTTCCTGTAACTTGTCAGGCTGAACCTAAGGCTAATGCAGCCTAATTGTGTTCCCTTAGGCAGTCTGAGTGGGTGGAGTCCTTTTTTTTTTATTTAAATGAAAATAATCTTCACTGACCAAGTCCCTTTCTTTTATTTATGCATTTCAGTGGGCACACAGAAATAGTCATGCTCATATTTTTCTAGAGTACTCAAAGTTTTCTAGAAGAGTCCTCTGGTTATGCACATTAAAAAAAAAAAAGCCCTTATCATAAAATGATACCAGTGGTGTTGAGTTATTCTCCCTTCAATTAGGAAACCCAATCGTTAGTGGCCTGATGCATTAACCTATCTACCAAGCACCACTGCCTTCCAATTAGTGGGACGTGGTTAAATATTAATGCAAAGTGATAATGCACATAAGTACTTAATAGACCGACTAGTAATAAAAAATAGCAAACTAAGCAGGGTGCAAAACCTCAGGCCATTATTTATTGCAAAAATATAGAATAATAGGAGAATTCCGTGTGCAACATTTACTTTTTGTGACCCAAAGTACTTCATACTTTTCCATGTAACTCAGATTATTAAGCCGATTTTAAAAGGCGGCTTCCCTTGGGCCATTGCGGCATGTTTGTGTTCTGAGACTGAAGGGCAGTGAGATTTAAACATAATGAAATTAACCAGTGCATCTAAGCTCTGTAGCTGACCGCTGTGTGGCTGAATGTTTCCCAAACTTTGCTTGCTGTCCTGGGGAGCAGCGTTTGTCATTTCTTTGGAATGTTCTGTTTGTATCATTCCTCACTCCACATGATGAAAGAACAGAGGAGAACCTTGCAGACAACCATTGCTGTGGAATTGTGCCTCGGGCAGTGCTTCTCCAAGAAGCTTCTAGAGGCACAGCGGACTTTGAAGCCAGGCGGCTGTGCTTTGAATCCGAGCCTCCCAGAACGATCCTTGGCAGCTGTTGAGAAACAAAGCTTTTGCAAACCGTCGTAACCGGACTTTTCTGCTGCCAGTAATCAGAGTCGCGATGAGTCAGGGTTCTATTTGGGGGTTTAGATAAGAAGTCTCGTGCCCTGGCGTGAGGACAGTGACCCTCTGCTTGGCTTCAGGGATTTCCAAAGTAGCAACAATAAAAATAACCATGTATAAAAAACAATAATGAGAGTAATAATAACAGTTAGGACTCACAATTCTCAAAGGCTTGGAGTGTAGCAGGCTGTGCTGAACCCATTGCGTGCCTGATCTCATTTAATCCTCACTACCCAGAGAGCAGGTCCCAGCTCATCACTGGGTTATTCTATCACTTTAGTGGAGGCTGACCAGCATTTTTAAAAAAAGGAATACAATAGAATAAAAGATATCAGAGTAAACCATATGTAGAAAGGGTAAGAATTATTTGGCAAAACTTTTGTTTAAGGTATACCTTAGGGGTGTGTGTGAAAGAGCGTTAGAAACCATAGAAAATGTAATGTTTTAAAAAGACTTTTTGAGAGCAATTTTAAGTTTACAGTAAAAGTCAGAAGAAGGTAAAGAGATTTCCCATATTTCCCTACTGCTATAGTCACCTCCTGAAGGACACCTTGGTTGCTTCCAAGTTTTGGCGATTATAAAATGTAATTTTCTACCTTGGTTCTCAGTAGAAAACAATTACTTGGTATTCACTGAGGTGAGTAGTATTTTCCAGGGGTGGCAACTGAGACTCAGAGAGGTTGAGCAAATCGCCCCGTGTCACACAGCAATGGTGCAGCCAGGTGAGGACCAGCGCTCCCGTTGCCCTTCAGAAGTTCGTCAGGCGGAGCTGCCTGCACAACTCTGCCCCCTTCAAGCACTGCCAGGCCTCACGGCAAAATCGCACTGGGCCCCCTCTCACCCTGGGGTCAGGGGGCCGGTCCCAGGCTGCAGAACAAACAGGACAGTGGAGGTTGCTAGGAAAGAAACCAGAAAAGCAGGGCCGGTCACCATGGCTGCTCAGGCTGCCTCTGCAGGGATAGGAGTGCTCAATGTGGGAACCTTATGACTGGCTCCCCTTGGGTAATGTCCTTCCTACTCACCCCCAAAGTGTCCAGTTTTAACTTGGCTTCCACGTGAGCTGTGAGGAGAGAGGGGGCTTGTCTTGCAAGCTATACATTTCTCGTTATATAGCCTTACATTTGCCTTCGAGTTCATTTATGATCCTCATGATGGCTGTCCGCCAGAGAAGGTCTGCTCCTTTGCTGACGGTCAGGTTTCCGCGACGGTGAGTCGCAGGTGGAGCCTGCTGTCACCAACCTGCAGCCCACCTGTGAGTCTTTTGGGGACACCGGTCTTGGTGTCTTCTCGCACTGCTGGCTTCATTGCTGACACCAGCTGAAGAAGAAACTGCTTTAAATACAAATGAAGCCTTAATTTAAGAGATAACGTTTCCTTTTCCCCTAGGATACCTGGGAGGACATCCTCATTGGCGACACAGAAATGAAAAAGGTTTCGGCTTGCCCCAGGTACGGGCTCTTGTGAGACTTGGCGTCTGGGTTGTGGTATGCCCACGAGTTCTTGATCATCACCTAACCCTCGGTTACTGCGTGACAGGTGCATCATGACCACAGTGGACCCAGACACCGGAGTGATAGGCAGGAAGGAGCCACTGGAGACCCTGAAGAGGTAGAACGCATGTCCAGTGTATTTTTAATGTTCCCCCCACCTGGGACGACCCGTGGGTGGAGGCGCTGTGCCTGGACACCTTTCTCTCTGCCTCCTGGTTGGTTTGCGTCTATCAGTTAATGTCAGTGAGTGATGCTGTCCTCTTTTTCTTCTGCACACATCGTCTAATGCTTGGGATGGATTTTTAATGATAGAATAGTGGGTTCTGAACTTTTGTATCTCTCCTGTCAATTTCTAACATTCACGTGGGGTTTTCTTCCCAAATGAAGGCATTTGTATCCTTTATTTTTATTGCAACTCAAATTTCTTTTCTAGAATCCACGTCAAGGGCTGTGAAAATACTTGAAGTCGTACCATAAAATATTAAAAGACAGAATGCAGGGAGTTGTTTACTCCAGGAACCTCACCCATGCCGGAGAGTGTGTTTTGTTACCTAAAAAATTGGGGCTGGCTTTCGTTCTCCATATAAAATGTGTTTCTAAACCCAAGTTAACATTTCTGGGGAGGTGTATCCTTTCCATTTCGTTCTTGGTTTCTCGTGAGTCTAGGTTAGAGAAGGGTTATTTCTGGAAGCATGAAGAGTTCCAGTTCCATTGTGTTTTGCTTTTAAAGGGACAGTGAGTTTTTTTCCCCTTGGGGTTGCATACACATTTGTTTCTCTGAGCTGTGAAATCGGAAGCGCACGGGTGGTGTTTAAGTACTCAGCCCAGAAAAGTGTTTTCCCCTTTGGTCTCAAACGGAAGTCATGGAAAAATTGTTTAGACTCTCAGGATACGTCCCCAAAAACCAGAATTACTTGCAGTTTGACTAATGGCCCCTAAACTTCTCTGTCAGCATTTCAAAAAAAGCTGGCCATTTCTTCCTTTATAAACAAGCAGGGTGGGTAGGCGGCAGGGGGTGATAGCTTGAATTCCGTCGAAAGCGCCTGGATTATCTTTCCCTTTCTGCACCTAATGATGGGTTTTTGCTTTTTTCCAGCTACCGCCTGTGCGATCCTTCCGAGAGGGGAATCTACAAGTCATCTCCACTTTTTGGGATCTATTATTCAGTGGAAAAACTTGGAAGCTTGAAAGTCGGGGACCCCGTGTACCAGATGATACAGTGAGAGACCCACAAAGGTGACATGGTAAAGGGCCAGCTTTGCTTCTGGGACAGCGGGGCCTCGAAATCACTGCCACATGGTCTTGCGCTGATTTCACGTTTTGCCGCTTTAGCGGCTGGCAGAGTGATCAGCTTGCATTTAGGTCTTCAGAGGTGGAAAGTGCCCTTTATTTCCAGTCCCCTCTGTCACTGGTCTCCTCCCACCCCGGCTGCTCCATCCCACTTCCATTCCGCTAGAAAATGCTGAGACACGAGCTGCGGGAAGACAGGTGGCTGGGCCCCACCCACTAAAGGACAGTCATCAGGAGTAAGAACGTGAAGGGGACCGGCCCTCCCTGGTTACAGCCTGATCTTTTTTCTGCCTCTGACAGAAAAGCAAAAGGGAAACGTCGAGATGATTCAGCATCAACTTGGGGGGGGGGGGACGGGAAGTGCTTTATATCAAATGAGTATTTAAAGTGTGACGCAAAGCTTGAAAAAAGCCAGTGCATCGAGGTGCCCGGACTCAGACTCACAAGGTAGAATAACGTGTTCTCAGAGTGATGTCATCAGGTCAGATGAAGCCTTGAACCCGCATAATGCCAGACTCCCGAATGACAGGGAAGTCAGTGTGAGCCTTCAAACTGAGGTTGTTTTTGGTAATTCTTCTCCTAAAATCCATAGCCCAGGTATTGGAGTTATCTAATGCCCAAAACTCTAGCGCACCCTTCTCTCTAACTGTTGTCTGACCGTCTCCACCTTCTCACGTGACCGTCCTAATGGACAACATGGGCTAGTGGACTAGACAGTCTGCACCTGGCATTCAGTGCACTTGGGTTCCTAATCCCAGCAGCAACATTTTCCAACTCAGTTGCATATTTCTCTCAGCCTTTAAGCCCCAGGACCCTTATCAGCAAAGTGGGAATAAGGACAAAACAGCCAATACAAATTATATGGGGAATTAATTCATAGAAGTTACAGCATTGCCACCAAAACATAGCAAATAATCAGTGTTCTAATTTTTAAGGGCATCATTTCCAACAAGTGCCCCAGCTGAGGGCCTGTCTTTGATGCCAGAGTCGTCATAAAGATGAGACGGGCTTCACCCTTGGGGTGAGCAAACCGGAGAGAAACTTCTGCCGGCCACCTGTCGTGATCCGGCACTTTCATAGTCATCCCCATATTTCAACACTTCTGAGATGCCAACTTCCCCCACATCTTAACATCACTGAAGTCGAAAAGGTGACAACAGTCAGGATTCCTGTAAAAAAAAATCTCAGCAATGCATAAAAGCAATGGTGCCTCTTAGGATTTGATAAAATGCAGCCGACACTGGAAGGAGAAATTCCTAAGTGCCCCCTGCTTCTACAGCGCCACCTTGGAGGTGGGGCCAAGCCTGCACCACCCTGACTCAAAGCCTGAAAAGTAAAAAGAGCAGCCCCTCCATGCACCAGGGCTCCCGGCGTGGCCCGCGTATCCATTTAAAGTGTAATTACGTTGAGGCGTGTTGGCTCTGTTGTCTGTGGGATGCATGTTCACCGTGGCAAATTTAGAAACTAGAATATATGAGAAAAGTAGAGGAAAGAAATCACCCATTGTCTGTGTTTATACATTTTACTCTGGTTGGTTTGGTGTAGCTGTGTAATATACATAATTGTATATAGTATGCCTCATACAGATATATAAATATACATAATATGCTATGTACACATATATATCATATATGACACATCACATATTTATATATCATATCTACATATCTATCATACTCTATATATCATATATATGATAGATATTATAAGCACTTCCATAGCTCTCCAGTCTATTCAAATGTCATTTTGATGGTTGTATAACATTACATTGTATAAATATAGTACTTTTTAAACACCATTGTACAGTATTTGACTATTGGACTATATCCAACTTTGTTATTAATAATTTTGTACATATGCTCATCAGCAGAATATTTAAAAATATAGGAGTTTTTCTATAAGTTTGAACCTGAAAGTGGAGTGAATCACTCACGGGGCACAGGTGTATGGTTTGTAGCATCCTGACCCACTGCCCTCGAAAAGCTGACTCCCATCCGCAGCCCTCGTGTTGCAGGACACCCCTGGCTCCGGGCTGTCCCCAGAGCTGCGTGAGGACTGCGTCTTGAGGCTGCTCTTCCCCAGTGAGGTGACTTGGAGTGAGACACGGTTGACAGTTTCTGCATTCCCAGAAGTGACTGTTTTGTGGGTTTCTGAATTATGTATGACCGGGAGGAGAAATGAGCAAATAATTAGAGATTCTCATTATTTCTTCAGGTTTTGGTGTCCAGCGGACATCGGTCAGGGTCTCGTCTTCCATAGCAGCGCTGCCTCGGCCTCCGCCCTGGAAATGAATCTCTGTTCTTGACTTTCTGGAATCAGGCTCCTGATTAATTCAAGGAAAGTATTAGAGGTGATTTGGGAATAAGAAGGTTATATAGATTTTAGGTCAGGAAGACTTTGAAATAAATAAAATTGTATTACAATTATTTCAAATGTCACTGTAGCTCCCATATTCCTGACACTAATATTGATGAGATAACACAGAATCTGCTCAAAAGCGGCAACATTTTTTCTAAATGTTTACATTTTATGACTGACCATTCCGTGTCTTAGGCGACCTGAGGAACAGGTGTCCTGATGTGCCTTTGTATGCAAACACACAAGATTCCGTGGGTTTTTCCACGCCTACTGAGTCCTGTGGACCTTCTGCTCATGCAGTTTTGACTCAGCCCTCTCAGAGTCAGACTGTACTTGAGTATGGCGATGATTTTATAGACCCCGTTTTTACAGTCAATTGTGTGGCTTTGCGGCCGTGTAGAAGTAATTGTGCGTAATTGCCAGATACACGACTTGGAATGCCAGGTTCGATAAAGAAGAGAATGGGGTTAAATAGAGTGGGATTCAGAGAGTCGAGTGGGAAGAAAGGAGGTTGCATGTATGTTTTTAGGCGCAGCTGATTTTTTCCTGCTAACAGCAATGAAGTCCTTTGGAATGACTGAGCACAAATTCTCACTGAAGCAACATGTGAATGAGCCAATCTACTTACTCAATGTTGTGGTTCCTTTGGTGTTAATAAATGTGACTTTCTGTTGTACTTTTTGTTTGGTATGGGTGAGTCTGTTTCCTGGGCTCTGTCATTTTCCTTAGAACGTCAGTCCTTGTCATTCACCCTTTCTGATGCCCTGGCAGAGACATAACCAGGCTCCCCACATGTGACCTCCTGTTGGTGGTGGGGACAGGGGACATCAGGGAGGACTCGGGCAGCCCGTCCGCAGCAGCTGGTTGGTGACTGGCAGGAGCCTCCAGTGGCCAGTGAGGAGTAGCTGTCCCTTCTCTGGTGTCCTTTGCTGGGGCTGGAACTCACCTCCTTTCCCTGTGACAGGAAGGTGTTCACTGAGCTATGTCCTGGGTAACTTTGAGAAATGAGGAAATTGAAAAACCAAGCTCCCCTGAGAGTGAACCATGAACAGAGCATCAAAATTTCCCCTTTAAATTTCTGAAGAGAAATTAAGGATGGAGAGAAACTGCAATACACAGTTGAATGTTCTGAGATGTATGGGTATTGACTCTGTCCCCAGGAAGGTGCACAGCAGTCAACATTTTGGGGGGAACAGACCTTTCTCCTTCCAGCTCATTCCTGGAAGAGGTCGTGGACGCATGCCAATAGCTGAAGCCACACTGACCTGTCCCTCTGACCACAATTCCACATTTCAGGGGTGTGGGGAGATGGAGAGGCTGACCGGCGACTGGAAATGGATAGGAGAAAGGGGATCATCTTGTTTTCCCCGGTTTCCCGCTGGCCGCAGGCTCCTGGCCCCTAGAGCCTCGGCGGGGAGGGAGGGTGGCCCAGGACAGCTGGACGCCAGCAGGCCCCGTGTGCACACCCGCGCCCCACGCTCCCAAGGACAGGGCTCTGCCGCTGCCTGATTCTAACCCGAAATCACGCTTTGTGAGCAAATGGCCTTTATTTTTGTCTATTTTAGGTAAACAACCCAAGAATATGTAAAGCAGTGGGGTCACTGGCAGCGTTCTTGAGGGCCCGGAGTGGGGAACGCACCGCCTGGCGGCTGCAGGCGCAGAAGGTGGAGGAAGCGGCTGCTGGAAGACACTGGAAGCCGGGTTGCCTGGCACCCCGTGACCCGGGCCCACCCCTGCGGAAAGGGCGCTCTGATAGGCCAGGCGTGGGTTCCGGGAACGGCCCCCTTGCTGGCCTCTGGACCAAGGGTCAGACGAAGGGCGGACCTCCGACGGCGGTGACCCCGCCCAGCTCCCCGCCTGGCCCACCCACAACCGTTGAGCTATGGGTGCTGTGGGCTCCTTGATGCTGAACCGCCTCGGTGTCCCACCACCTCGACCACCCCCGCAGGCCCGCCTGGTTCGCTGCGGTGCTGGGACTGGCCTCGGTGGGTGGTGTTGGGGACGGTCGTCTGGCGCCGTACGCGGTCCCAGGTGGCGGCTGCAGCAGATGGGCACCATGGCGCAGCTGTGGATCTACCTGGTCAAGTCCTACAAGGGGGTGGCGGTGAGCGAGGCCGAGTGCACCGCCTTCGGGCTGTGCCAGGGGCACCTGCGGGACAGGTACGACGGAGTCCTGGAGTCGGGGGTGGGGTTGGGTGGTGAGGGGCTGCCCAGGACCTGCTGGGGATGGGGTGGGGCCAGAAGTCCCCGATCCTTCCAGTAACCGAGAGCTGCGTGGGACAAGGACAAAGAGAAAAGTGTTCCCTCTTCTCCCAGAAGCACACCCCAGGGTCCGGACCAGCTTTCCCTGGGTGACTGTCTTTCCACCTTGTTCACATGGTTCGCTTCTAAAGAGGTGTGGCCTCCATCCCCAGTTGTCAGCCACTGCTCATGAACTTAATTAAACTCGTCTAGCAGAAGCTGGACCCAGGATAGGTCCCCGCCTCAATAATTTTAGTCACCGTCTCTTGAGACCTTGGGGCAGCTTGGAGGCCCCAAGCCCAGTCCTCAGAGAGCACCAGAGCCAAGCACAGGTCAGCAGTTGAAGCTGACCTTTCGGATAAAAAGTGTTGTTGCCTAGGTTATTACCCCCAGTTCTCTCAAGCATGCTTTTATGGGTTGAGAAGCTGAGATGTGCAGCCACACTGCAGTGGACTCAGGACTGTGGCTGGTTCTCTGGCGCGCACTGTGACTTTGTAGGATAGTGGTTTTGTGGGTCTACCTGGGTAGGCACACTCCGTGCATTCCTGGGGTTCAGCAGAGGTCACAAAGGCCCAGAGCAAGTGGCTTCGACCTCTTCTGGGTCTGGTTCCGGGCCATCTCCAGGCCTGCACCTCGAACTCCTTGTTCTCCGAAGCAGCCCTCACAGCTTCTGTGGCTGACCCGCAGGCTGAGGGGCTGTAACTCTTCCCCCCAGCTCCCCAGCCAGAGGGCAATTCCTGAGACATCTGAAAGGTGAGCTGTCTGTCTCTGCTTTAGGAAGGGAGCCAAGAATCGCAGCTATGCCAGGGTTTCAGCAGAAACCTTGTTTTCAGCAGACGCTGAAAGATGGTAGGATTTGATTTGGCAAGCTCGGAGGCAAAAGGGCATTGTAATTTTGCAACATCAACTCAGAAAAATGTATTGAGCTCACATTAAAATGGATACTAAGAAGAGCTAGCATTTGTACCAGAAATGATGGTAAGCTCTCTATTGTTATGTTACCAAGAAATAATAGCCAAAAGATGTAACCAAAGGCTTCCAGACCTCTGCGACAACTCACTCAGTTGACAAGTGCTAGGGAACACTGAGCAAGGAGCCCCAGAAACTGTTCCGTGTGGTCAGGAATGACACTGGAGCTTGAACTGAGAATTTTAGAGTAATTATGAATTTTCCAGACACGCAAGCTGGGAGGCGAACGTTCTAGAAAGGCGGAGTTTGCTGGGTCAAGACCATGCGTTTGAGAGGACGGGTGTGCTGGGGCAAAGGCTGGTGTGCTCCAAGGTATTGACTCTTTGCCAAAAACAATCGACAGCAGGGACTTGAGAAACCACTCGTACACCAGTTCCCTGACGTATTATTCACAGTGGCCAAAAGGCGGAGTCAACCCAGTTCTGCCCTCAGATGGCTGGATGAGCAGCACATATATGCGCAGTGGACTATAATTCTGCCCCCCAAAATGAAGTTCTGATACGTGCTGGAGGATAGCTGAGTCTTGGAAACATTATGTTAAATAAGCCAGACACAACAGAAAACAGTATTACATGGCGTCCACTGACGGGAACTATCTGAAATGGGCAAATTCTCGGAGCTGGGTTAGAGGTTCCCAGGCTGGGGGAGGAGCCACGGGGGCCACCGCTTCGTGGGTACAGAGTGTCAGCTTGCGATGATGAAAGGGTCTGGACGTAGATGGTGGTGGAGGTTGTGCAACCCAGTGCCGCTGAGTGGTGCGTTGGAAATCATTTTTAGAAAAGAATGATTGAGACAGAGGGTTGTCTCACCCTTTGGCACCGTGAACGGTGCCTCTGTGAACGTGGGTGGGCAAGTCTCTGGGTCCTGCTTTCAACTCTTTGGGGTGTACACCTCCGAGTGTGCCAGGTATTTGATGCTGCATGTAAATATGTGCATGCACACATTACATATATGTGTGTACATATGTGTACACACACATGCATATACATCACTGCAGTCAACAATGAACAGGAAAAGTGAAAGGCCAGCCCGTGCAAGGGCACAGGGAGGTGACGATTTCTACCTCACTGAAGAGTTCGGGTTTTATCCTGAGAGGGGGAGCCATGGAGGGACCTGGCCAGAGGGGTGACGTGATCAGATTTGTTTTTTAGAAAGAGCAGACAGCCATCGTGACTAGGGAGAACGACTAGAGAGGACGTTCTCGTGCTGGTCCCAGAGGTCTGGCTCAGGCCAGAGCTCCGTCTCCCACCAGGGCGAAGGGCCAATAAAAGGGCAGTTCCGGAAAAGGCTTACCTTAACCTCTTCCTGCTAATTTCTCACACACTTGGACCACCGTCACTGACTAGAGGCAATGACCCAAAGCACCTGCCGGGTTTTTCCATGCACCTATGGGCCCCCAAAGCATGAGCTCACCTCTGCACTGGTGCTTATCTAATCCAGTGTGAATCAAAATGACCAAAGCAGCGATGTGTTTACCACTGTTCTTTTTCTGGAAACGGTTCTTTCTATCACTCTTATATCTCCTTTTTTTTTTCTTGTGGTAAGTACCTCTAGACCAGGAGTACTGGCCAGAAATAATATGGTCCCTATTAGCAATAGACCTTTCAGTAAATGGCAGAATTCACAGTTCTGAATGCAGAAGCATTAATTTTCTTTAAAGGGGAGGGTGGATCTGGGAAGGTGCACATAGCATTGAAGGTGGCCAGCTGAGCTCCAAGCTCTGTGAACGATATGGCAACAGCGCTGTGATTTCAGCCCAGCACCTACTGCGCGTCAGGCACTGCGGGTCATGCTGGGAAATCCATAACCGTCACTTCTGTGGGGCCAATTGAATGAAAGTGGTCAGACTGTCTGGCAGTTGAGATGAAAATAGAATTCACTGAGGAGCTTGGGATGCTCTCCAGAAATGACATCGGATGCTCAAGTGGTTATTCAACCCTTTGAAATAGACTGGCAGACTCAGTCTGGCTGGGCTGCCGAGTTGATGTTTTGGACAGACAGACACACGCAAAGTCACACACGCACACACCCCAGGCTCACTGGGAGGGATTCAGAGAGGACAGTCGTGACTGAAGGTCCCATTGACTCGCAGCCTGTCACGGGGGCCCGTGCACATCTCCTGTTTTGAACATGGCAGGTTTGGGCTGGTGATGGATGAGACAGCAAACATGGTGACCTCTCGCCGGGAACCTTGCCTGGTCGTGATTTCCGTGACCAGTGAGGGGGGCGCCCTGACCTCCATGCACCCTCCATGGAGGACCTGCTGCTGCCCCGCAGGACGCCCACCGCAGGCGCAGTGTTGAAGTGCAGGTAAGGGAACGGCTGTCCTTAGCCCTGGCACAGCATCTAAGCACGCAGTGTGGAGAAAGCTCGAATTAGGGAGGGCATCCTGAGAAAGGTAGTCAGAAGTGTGCCCCTGAGTGCAAGGGCACCACGTGTGGGGGGCAGGCCTCAGTACCCTGACGA